ATGATGAGTGTCGCGCGTGCACTTCATATCCAAAAATTGAAAATTGCATAAAATTTGCATATCTAAAATTAGAAACCCTAGTTTCTTCATCTGACTCTGTGTTAAAATACTAAGCCAAAAGTAGCATTTTTTTTAAATCAAAGAAGATTCTAGATTATATTAACAGTAGAAAATATTATCATATCCTATCTTCCTTTCGATATTTTTATGTCGCCAACGTATAACGTTAACGTCACATTTTTAGCTCACCTCCACGAAGGTTTGGGGAGCTTTTGTAATACCGTCGGCATCGGTGTTCCTGGTAAAAGTTTTTGAAGCAGATTTTTTTTTCAAGTATATATATGCCCATCATTAATCAGAGTCACATGATCTAGCGTGTTTCCTTATCTCCAGTCAGGTTTCAGATGCTGCATTTTTAGCCAAAGAATGTCCAGGTAAATGTTTTAAAAGCAGATTTAAGTTTTTAGAGAAGAGCAGCTGTAAGCACTTGTTGACCAGATTTGCTTCATGATGCATCTACCGATGCACACTACCAGACTTGCTTCAGATGCTGGATCTGACCTACATTTCCTTAATGAGTGAGCAGGTTAAAAATTTTGAGGCGGGTCTCATTCTTATGTAACTATAAGCTCTATCGTGAACAAACTTGCACTGATGATGCATCTAGGATCATCGTTCAGATGCTGGATCTTTCTTACATTTTCCGACTGACTGTACAAAAAATAAGGTTTAGAGCAAGTCTATTCCTTAACGTTATTTATCATGCATAGTTATATTTTTGACTTTCTTGTAAATGGAAATCCACGCTTCAACATGCTAGAGAAGCGCTCTTATATTTCCGTGTGGTTGATATAGAGAACATGGATTGTTTTAATTAAGTCTGGATGTCTAGGTGCATATGTCTGCATATGATTAAGGATTAAACACGTATCTTTGGCGTTTACACATGTATTTCGAACTACGCTCTGGTCTAGAAAATCATACATAATGAATTCTAAAACTCTCTAAATGAGAAATGACTAGAGTTGGTGAAGCAACTTAAGTATCTATGGAGAGTTGGGAAGTGAGAGGATATTAGTCCTGGCTGGGATTCTCTCAGTTATGCTGAAAAAATAATGCAGATCTATGTGAACAAATATACTTCTACGTTTCATAATGAAAAGGAAACACTCAATGTATTATAGATTTTTCCATCATTGGGCTATTCATATAATTACTTATCATGATAAAATATTTTTAACTGTAAGTAATATTATCCATATTATCAAATACATTGCAATTTACTGAAGCCGGTAGGTGCTAGGTAAAAGAAAAGTCAAGTTTCTAGCGCCTGCCATTGAAATATCTGGCGGCTGCCAGATAAAACTGTAGTGTTTTTGCTTTAACGACATCTACAACTTCTGTTTGTAGTCAAATTTGGGAGATTCATGCCTTATTAGCAAAGATCAAATCTACACTTTATACAAAAATTCAATTTATAAAGTCTTCACTTCATAACTTAAAATTTATGCTTTATTAGATTACATGTCTACACCGCAAGAATTATTTGGCGGCTTCTAGTTATTTATGTGGCGGCCGCCAGATAAGTTTCTGGCCGCCGCCAGTTATTTATGTGGTGGTCGCAGGAAAACTATTTTGCAGCCGCCAGATATATTTTTCTAGCCGAATAATTATGTGGCGGACGCATGCAGATAAAATATTTTTTATTTTTCTTACCTTGCACCTACAATGTACATGTATACCAGCTTACGTAGCAATATGATGGTTTTAAATAAACCTTTTATTTATGTATATATGTAAAGTTGCATTCATTTTTTAATCGTGCCGATTTTTTCTTTGTATTTCAAATCACTTTTTTTTTATTTCAATTTGATGATATTAAGGTATATTTTTATAAAACATGTACATATGTAGTTGTATAACCTCATTGATGAAGATGCATATATCTGTATATGACGTTTTTACGTTTACCTATCTCATGTCTACATATTTTTTTCATTTGCATTTTTCGTATGTGAAAATGTTAAATATTGATTATAAAGTTTATGTATGAACTGTAGATTAATTATGATGTTAAAACTTTCCGTATATGTTTACGTTTTATAAGTTAAATTCATTCTCTTTTAAAGAAAAGTAACATTTAACACACCAGAAAAATACCGCACCTTAAAAAAACATTCGCATAAAATCAATACCATTTTCCGTTAAAAAAAATTTTGAAATTTGTTAATTTATGTCTTTATTCATATTTATCCTATTTCATTTCTGATTTTGAGGGTAAAAAAAAACCACTTTCCCCCTATAAAAATGTTTACTCTAAAAATATACGAAAGGGGGTATACTTAAATTCTCAATTATCACGTGACCGGAAAATGCGCAACATAAATTATTTTCATATTTTTAGGAAGATAAGAAGTTTTTCTACAAATTATCAAAATTTCATGAAATTTCGTGAGGGGCCGAAAAACGGCCTTATCGAAACTCCCCCTTTTTGGCAACCGGAAGTGTGGTGGACCCGATACCAATGCACTGGACGACTACTAGGTTATCATATCACTTTACATCATCTAAGAAGCATAGAATCCACCGCTGTAAGTAATCCCACTTCATATCAATACACACATTGTGCAATCAGATTCGAAAAAAATAAAGTTTCTACCAATCAAAGTAAGTTAACATAAGGCATTCTTACTATAAATTTCAAATTGTTGTTTTTCATTTTCTCTTATCCTTAATTAAATGCAATTTTTATGCCCCCGTAATCGAAGATTCAGGGAGAAATAGTTTTTGCCCTGTCCATCCGTCTGTCTGTCTTTGTATCTGTCTGTCTGTTTGTCTGTCCGCAAAACTTTAACCTTGGTCATAATGTTTGATTGTTTGGAGCTATGGTTTTCATATTTCACATGCGTTTCCTTGTTACTTTTATTTAGGTACCAACATATTTGACCTCTTGATCTTGACCTAGCAGTTTGACCCTATTTTTGCAAAATGTTAGCCTTGGCTATAACTTCTGCATAGTTGTTGCTAGGGCTTTCATACTTCACATGTGCTTTCCCTGTGACAAGACCTTTAATTTGGGTAAAATTATTTTTGACCTCTTGACCATGTCCTTGGAGTTTGACCCACTTTATAAAAATTTCAACCTTGATCATAACTTTTGAACTGTTGGTACTAAGGCTTTCATATTTCACATGTGTATTTATTATGATAAGACCTTTCCTAGGGTACCAACAATTTTGACCATTTGACTTTGACCTTTGAGTTTGACCTACTTTTGAAAAACTTTAACCTTGGCTACAACATTTGAACGGTTGAAACCCTGGCTTTCATATTTTTCATGTTTATTCCTTGTGGCAAGACCTTGCCTTGGGTACCAACAATTATGACCTTTTGACCTTGACCTTGGAGTTTGACCTACTTTTGAAAAACTTTAATCTTGGTTATAACTTTTAAACAGTTGGATCTAGAGCTTTCATATTTCATTTGTGTCTTTCTTGTTACCAGACCTTCCATTCGGTACAAACAATGTTGATTTGTTTATTTTACATGTCATATCCAAATTTTACATCATTTAAATGACATCTAAGCAATATATATATGTCTCTTTATCTCAGAATAAATCTAGCGTAAAGTTTCATAGTTAATCAAAGTATTAAAAAAATTTACTATTATAAACTTTAGTTGACTATATTACACTATAATTCTTAGCTAAGTAAGTTTCTTAAACGTGTATATTTAAAATTCATTCTAAACATTTACATGTAAATTTAAAATGCATTCGAAAATGTTCTTTTAGTAATAATGGCCTTTGTGGTTGTTGCGTTTAATTTCAGTTGTCTATTACCTCATGTGACAAAAAAGATTTTGCTGTTTGTACTTACACTGATGATATGTCAAATTACCAGGGACAAAAATGTTGCCTTCTTCTCAACCTTTGTCATTTATGTGATAGCTTCCTATCTTGCCAGTCTTTCTGTCTTTCTACTTAACAGATTCATGGAAAACCTACAAGATCAAATATTTGAGTCTAAAATCACCGTATTCTGAGAGGATGACCATGTTGTAGATCAATCGGCTCCAGAAATCAATTATACTAAGTTGCTGCTTGATATCGGAGATGTCTGTATGCTAATGAAAGAGACATTAACTGTTACATTGGGCATCCATAAATTATATTTTCGGGTGAAATCATTGACAAAGCATTAAGAATATTTTTGAAATATGCGAAAACACAAGAAAGTAATTGGTTATAATTATTCACTGTAAACGTGTTTTTTGCAGACTTCATTTTACGTTCATAGAAAAAAAGTATGAGATTAGTAATTTATATAAACATAGAAATGCGTCCAAAAAAAAACAACACAAAACCATACCCTATAAACACAAAAAGCATCCAAAATTTATTCAGTTGTATGAGAAATTGAGTAGAATTTAGGATGGAACATCTTAGCAACATGTTAACGGTTTGATTTAGATACTCCTTGTGCTGATTGAGTTTGTCTTGAATTTCACGGTCAAGTAATATATATATATATATATATATATATATATATATATATATATATATATATATATATATATATATATATATATATATATATATATAAGGATACCCACTTCCGCCCCAGCCCGGGGTTGAACTCTCGACCTACGGAATCTGTCTCCTAGCAGAACAGGAACAGGGGCGGAAGTGGGTATCCTTATAAAAGTGAATTTCTTTGTGCTTTCTATATATATATGCTTATAAAAACCTTTTTTATATTTCATTTTAAAAGGGTTTTTTTCAGTACGAAGAAAAATAAGTCAATAAGTTGAAATTGAAACGTCTATCAATGCAGAGTCACTCCATAATTACTAACAATATATTAAAATATATTCACTGCACGATGCAAACAGTATAAATGAGAAGGAAACATATTTTAAAAAAATTAAATAAATCATCTGCTGAGTGATGGAACCAGAAGCATACATTTGAAAATATATACATCGTCTGCTGAGTGATGGTGGCGGAGGTTAGCAGATCAGAGAGTGGATATGGGTGGACAGTGGTAGTAGCTGTGTTTTTTATCTACGTGATCGAAGTAGGAATACAAGCGATAACTGGAATAATCCACACTGAACTGGTCAAGTCGACGTCTGCTGACCTGGCGGTGATCGGTTGGATTGGTTCTTTGATGGTCGGACTCTGTACGCTGGCAGGTAGTAAGATGGGCAAGGATTGGTAAAATAAGGTTAAGACTTTCAGCTCGGATAAGACAAAGTTATATGAACGAATCTTTACGAATTTTCTTCGATGGAATGCAAATTAACATTTCAGGTAAACATAAACAAATTCCCAAGATTCGAATTTGTTTGAATTGCAGTTGAGTATCGCGAATTTTCAAGGTATATTCAACTTTACTCCATTTTTCATCATGAGCCCCTAATTGGCCAATAGCACATTAATTTGAATATTTTTGGTCATTGTCACATTATATATAAGGCGCAAAAAATTATTTTCATATCTTATGTATTTCCAATACACGGGCAAACTCAATCCCATGATGAAGCTCAGATTTAAGACTCATGACACATGAATTCACAATTTGGATATAGTTATCATTGACACATGAATCAATATCTACGCCTACTATTCAGGAGTATCGAAGACATATTTGAAAGACAGTTTTAATTTTAATAATATTTTAATGCAGTTTTTAAATATATCACTAATTTAATCTTTCCTTAGGCCAAACTCTTTGACCTAACAATTCAAAAATTTGAAATAAGGTGTATGAATTTCAAAACCTTTGTAGAAGACACGGTCCTTTCTATCACCACGCATAGAACTTGTCTGCTAGACGGCCGGGGTAGGACAGCAATAAGTTTTTGATGGTATTAATTTTGGTAGTTTTTGTCTTACCCTAGAAGTTAATGGAAGATTAACAAAAACGAGTAGCGATACGCAACTAGTGGAACTCAAATGCCTAAAATTTAATGATTCTCTTGTCCGTTGCCGTGATATATATCCCTACAATTTAATACTTGTGTTTTATCCTTTTTGATAGCTCAGACTTTTTTTTAAAAAAGCCTGTCTTCGTTCCAGCACCATTTGTGTCCGTCCTGACGCAGCTGGTATCCTGTAGAATTCTGCTTATCATCGGAAATCTATTAATCAGTCTAGGATTCTTCTGCGCAGCCTTTACTTCGTCAGTTCCGGTGTTGATTTTGTGTCTCGGAGTTCTTCCAGGTATGTGCTAATAAGGGGATTTAAAAGGAGAAATACATTAACTACAAAAAGTCAACAATCTTCATGTAACATTATTATAATTAGACCGTGTAGGCTTTAATTTGTGTTGGTCTTTAAAAACTATTTTATTTTGCAGGAATCGGTATGAATTTAGCTCAGTTCTCTTCCACTATCTTACTCAAAGGATATTTCGTGCAGAAGTTTCCTCTTGCCATTGGAATTTGTCTGTCTGGTTCTGGTGTTGGTATGATAGGATTCCCCCCGTTTTTTGTTTACTTGCACACAATCTTCGGAATTAAAGGAGCCTTCCTTATGTGTTCGGCCATTTCTTTGAATTGTGTCGTATTTTCCTGCCTTTCAAAACCAAGCAAATTTCAATCTCGAAGTAAGTGTACTTATTTGATATTAAAATACACTAACTATGGAACTGAAGTCTTTTAAAGTCAGTCTACACTAAATAAAATTCCATAGCCAACTCGAATACTGTAAAAAAGGAAATTAACTCGCGGAGTTAACATTCGCTATGTTTGCGAAAATAAAAATTCCGCGAATTAAACAAACAGTGAATAATTCGTCATAAATTGTTAAGGATAAATTGAAATATTATCGATATCTGTGATTAGATTCGCTAGCTCTATCTGTGTTTCCTAAAACATAAATATGATAAAAGCAGATCTTTAATCAAGGCTTTTACGTAGTAAAGACAACACTGTTACACATTAATCTGCTATTCAATTCAATTTTATAACAGTTCAACATTTTGACTATTTATTTATTTGAATTGATTTAGTTTCAGGAGGATTTATATATACTGCGGAAATATTTCAATTGAATAAATCACTTGAGTATAGACTCATATGTAATTCAACAATGTTTAATAAAAAGAGAGAAAAAAAAAAGAAAATTTATCTGAATGCGTAACATTGTAAATTGTACAACATCTTTTCTTCTAATTAGGATCAGTACGGTGTTTCGTTCTATTTAATCTGGTTCAGAATCCACACATACTTTTAGTGCTGAAAATGTTTTCGTATACGTTTTCCTTTCCGCGAATTCAAACGACCGCGATATGCTGCAAATTGAACAAATTGCGATCTTTTTCGACAGCGATTTTAACCTGCTGTACAGTAACCGATAAATCATAATCTAAATTAACACACTGAGTATGTATTTGGAAGGAAATTGAATATTGCATTATTTTTTATGAGATGATTTGATTAATTATTCCAAAAATATATTTATATCTGTATGGATAAATTTTACAAAGTGTAAACATTAAAATTATTTGAACTTTATTTAGAAGTTACAAATTAAAGTATCAAACGTTCTCTTGTAGAAAAACCATCGGAAAAGAGATTTTCAATTGCAGAGCTCTTTGACTTTAGCCTTTTTAAATCGCTTAACTTTGTTTTGTTTGTGACGGCTCATCTGTTATTCAACATTGGTTACGCTGCTCCTTTCACTTACTTGCCAATCAAAGGAGAGGAGGAGGGCTTCTCGGAACAGTCGTCTGCTCTTTTCATAACATCACTGGGAGCCGGAAGTTCGATAGGAAGAATAACGTTTGGATGGTTCTCTGCGAAGTTTCCGCGTGTTCGTATCCCAGCATATCTTGCTGCGGTGTTCATGGCTACACTGTCCACACTTCCGGTGGCCATTTCCTCCTCCTATCCATTAATATTGGTCTGCTCAGCGGTTCTTGGCGCGAGTTCAGGTAATGTACATGTTTGAATAATGAGACTACCAAAAAATTTATCTTTCAAAACGCATGAGTAAATTAAATGTTGGTGAGGGAAAAATTGAAATTGAAACAATCTAATTGCATGATAAATCTGTTGAAACATGAAAAATTGAGCTTTTAAAAAAATCATGCTGTACTTCCTTGCTTTTGATACCTGTGTAGATTTTTATCAGCAAGTTAAAAGATTTTTTTTCAGTGCGACCGAAGAAAAAAGTCAGATTTATGTTAAAATATAAATCAATGATGACTCAGTTTATTTTCTTTTCTAGCCTCCTAAGGAAGGTCCTGATTAATTAAAAATGGTTTAAAGCAGAGTGGAAATACATGTATCTGTGTTACATGAGTATATAAGTTATGACTATATACGTGAGTAGCCATTTGTTTTCCGCCAAACATACGATGTTCATGGTTATCTTTCTTTTATTTACAGTTCTCCGCTGAAGCCTCGGTCCCCATTTAGTTGGGTATACATTTGCTCTGTTTCTAAAAGGATTGTCTTCATCCTGTGCTAATCTTCTTTTTACAATAGGAATCATCCACACAGAGATACCTACATTACTGATGGGAATGTTGGGAGTAGACTGGTTACCTAGTAGCTTATCTATAACAGCTCTTCAGCAAGGTATTGGATCTTTAGTTGGAATACCAATTACAGGTATTACTGTTTTGGAATAAAAAATAACTCTTATTTCAAAATATCTTGTATCCTTATTTTTCTTCAACTTTCCCGTGGTACAATTTTTCTCCTCCTCTGTGCTAGTGGTACAGGCGGTAAATAAAATGTATTTAGATTTCCTCATAATTTCATATTTACATGTAACCAGTGTATCAAAAAAAAAACTATGAAAGAATTGGCTTAAATTGCTTGTATTACCTTGTTAGAACCATTGCGAGGACAATTTTATCAGCATTAATGCTACTGTGTTTCAATTTGACAAGATGCAGTCACTTGGATATTACCACGATATATATGAGTGACTTTCATCGCGGAAAGGGAAGATTGCATGGGTGCAACATGTTTTTATTTTTTTCGAATATAGTCATTCCACCAAGACACATTTTAGCAATTGCCTTAAGGCGTTTTATAAAGCTATACGTATTTTGATCAAAGGTTTTGCAGATGGGAGAATATATACATCTATGCATTAAACGTTTTCTGATATTTGAATCATTTGCCACGTCTAGTCGAAATAGTTATCCCAGCTTTAAGTGATAATTTATCTTGACTTTTACCCCAGGTAAAGCCTGGAATTGATGATCACTTGATGAGGTTACTCTCCTGATTTGATAACTACTGGTATTATGACAAAAGTTGTGTGGACGGCAGACATATATACCCATATTCAAAAATACATTTTTGTGTTATGAATATTTATTTAATCCGAAGTTTAAGTAATATGTTCCCATGATAGAAGATTTAGGGGCATATAGTTTCGATCTGTCCGTCCGTCTGTCTAGCTGTTTGTCTGTTAATCTGTTTGTTTGTCCGGAAAAAACTTTAACCTTGGTCATAACTTTTAAACGGTTGGTGCTAGAGCTTTTTTTTTTAATTTCTCATTATTCCATATTACAGACCTTTCTTTGGGTACCATCATTTTCTACTTTGTGACTTTGACCTTTGAGTTTAAGCTACTATTAAAATTAAATCTTGGCCATAACTTATGAAATGTTGGTGCTAAGGCTTTCAAATATCAAATGTGTATTTCTTGTGACAAGTCTTTTCTCTAGGTTCCAACATTATTTTTGACCCCATGACTTCGACCTTTGAGTTTGATCTACATTTGAAAACAACTTTGACTTGCCCATATTTTTGGAACATTTATTGCTAAAGAACTCTTGACCTTGAAGTTTGTCCTACATTTGAAAAACATTTACCTTAGCCTTGGGTTGCCATACGGGGGTATAAGTGTTTCACAAACACATTTTGTTTGAATGTAATCAGAAAGAATTGTAGGAGATGAAGCATTTTGAAATACATAAAAACAGACAGTGGAAGAGACAGACAGACGGAAGGACGATTATTGAAATCGTTCAGTTATATTCCAATGTAAAATCAATCATATAAAACTATGAATAACTGTACATTAATATACGATGATTGATATTAACGATTAATTGATATTTTATCATTCAAAATAAAAAGTCACAATGCACATCATTATAATAATGCATTTTTGCCTGCATGATTATCTTTTTTTTCAATTTAATACCGTTGATTATATTTACAGAAATGATATGTCGAACTGCTGGGAACAACAATATTGCATTTTTCTTCACCTCTGGCGTCCATGCAGTCGCCCTTCTACTCATGGTACTGTCTTTCTACTTACCTGACAGAGGTTTACACAACTCACATGTACAAACACAGAAATTAGAGGGGGAAATTGGAGTATCCAAACCGGAAGTCTTTGTTGTCGATTTATCGGATCCGAACATCAACGGTCCAACGGCAGCTTAATGTCAAAAAGTCAATCGAATATTTGTTACGAGTATTTTCTAATACAATGTACATCATTAGTTATATATTTACGTCTTATCGTTGTCTTCGATGCTAACATATTTTTTGAAATTTTATGCATGTTTAATGTTAATTTTATCAAATTGTTTTTTTTTTATTCGCTGTTGTTTATGAACACTGATGAAAAATGAATTCATTATTATATGATTATAATGATAGCTCTTCTCTCCGGAAGTTCTTATTCATCATTGCATTAAATGGTCAAAGATCTACGGAAGAATCAACTTTTGAATCAGCCCAGGCATTTTTACATTTGTGGGTCTATAAACGTAGTATTTGTAATATAAATAAAATCTTGTTTTCAGCCAGCTTTTGAACCAGATATAATTTTAAAATAACTCATGAATTGCTTCGTCTTTGAATTTTTGTCAAATTAATTAAAAATTCTAAAAACGTTCTACTAATGAACAGTAATGTATAGTGCCCGTAGGAAGCAATTTCAGTTTGGGGATACTACCAAACAAAAATTCCTTGACAAAAAAGGTCATTAGACAAAATTATTAAGGGGCACATTTAAAAAGTAACTTTTTTCTATAGTATACTAGAAACTACATCACACTACCGCCACCTCGCCCAGGTTTCGACGGGGCAGTGTAAGGAACATTAAGCAAATACATTTCAAACAAGCCATCTTAAATAAACAAGAAAACCTGGTCATAGTCACAAAGAGTTGACATTTGAATGCGATCTCTATAGGGTTCTTTCAGAGACTTAATCGAGATACATGTGTAGTGTGGGTCGTGAAAAAGACAAAAAGACTCCTGCAAAGAGCAAATAAAACTTAAGTGGACAAGGAAGTGTTAAGCAGAGGTAGAATGAAGGCACTCTTGGTGTTGAATGCATTTGTTTTCATAGGTGATTCTAGGTAATCGTGTTGGACTTAAGTCAGAAAATATTCTCTTGCTATATTTGTGTTTACTTTCAGAGTAAATTGGCTCCTTTTTAAATGATTAAGTAACCATTATCCACACACTTTGGAGTCTCTTTTCGGATATAACATCATAATGTCCACCACATGTGTTTAACTTCAATTCCCTCTGCTTTTATTTTTATATTAATATCACGATAATTTCGAAATTATATATAATGAACAATGTTAAGATGTTAAGTTCATCCATTCATTAAGTAACTTCTGTGTTAAGTATCAACTACAGAAAATCATTTAGGAAGAATACCCCTCCATGGCACGTGATTTCAGGGATCCTGAACTGCTCCCCCTCTCAATTTATATAGTTTAAAATTGGAGCATGAAAACTGTTCGTTATCTTCACATTCCATTTTAAACGTTCGCTTTTTCACAAGCATATAACACACTTTCATGATAGTTAATAAATGCAAAAAGGACACAATTTTTTTTTATATAGAATAATTTATTTAAACTATTTTGGAATATATTTATTGCCATGATTGTATCTGATAAAATATGACTAAGGTTAAAGTGAAATTAAAAAAGTTAAAATTTTTGTGCAAGAAATGCCACTTTTTTCTACCATTGAACATTAACCTCCGGTTTTCTTTTCAACTATGAAATGTAGGGAGATAACGAACAGTATTCAAGCTCAAAAGTCCATTAAACAATACAAATTTTGGAGCAGAACAAACACAGACCTCTAAAACATCAGAGGTGGGGTCAGGTGCCATAGAGGAGTGAACTTTCTAATAAATCTACATAACCTGATAATGATGAAGATCCTGACATTCTGGTGAATTTCAGCTTCACATACTAAGGCATTCATTTCATGAAATGAACATGATTTGTGTGGTGGTTTAAGCATTTCATTCTTCTTTGACTAGGACCTCAAGTCAAGATCATGACAAATCTTAAGGACAGGTAAACAGCATACGAAAGTATATAAATATTTTAATCATTTTTAAACAGGTTTTTTTTACATTCCTTTGTGTAATTTAATTTTCTTTGCATTTTTGCAACGACACCAAAAATAAAAATTGTCAAATTTTTGAGAACCCCTGTCCCTTCCTCAGAACAAAGTTAAGAAAAGATTAGAAAGTCATTAAAACAAAGGAAATGGAAAAAAAACAAGCTTAAGAAAACAAAAACAACAAGCACTACATGAAACATGAAGATAACAAACAGCAATCATGCTAAAACAACATTGGAACAATACACACTGGGACAGACGGACCTCAAACACATCAGAGGTGGGATCAGGTGCCATGGAGGAGTAAGCATCTCCTGTCGATCGGTCATACTCGCTGTGTGCTCCTTGTCGCGGTTGGATAAACAGAGAAATCCGTATACAATTCAGTGTGAAAATAATAGCCAAACAATTCTTATGAAAAACGACAGTCAACATTCTACTTAACGATAGACTGCATTTGTTAACAAGGTCATTATATCGACCATAGAAATTTTAATATCAACTTCGGAGTACTTGTGTGTACAATCAGAATGTTTTTGAACGAAATGATTTTGCAAATGACCAATGACAAGGTAAGTAAATCTATAATTTCCATTTTTATTGGAAAAAGCAGCTGTCTGTGATCTGAAAAAGCCTGGACTTTAGTTTGTGGTTTCAAATTTAACTGTGGCGTAAGAAGTGCGTGAAATGCAAATTCGCGACCTATTTTGCGAAGTATAACCACTGCATATTTTTTCGTATAGGTGAATAAACACACAGCTTTTCTGAATCACTAGTTTACTACACAAATTGTATTAAATATTTGGCAAATTGAAATATAAATTTAATGATAATTTTAAAAAAAAGTTAATGGATATCGAATTTAACATAGTGTAAAAGAAAAATTAGAACGTTCCAAGTATATGTTTTCTGTGACCCCACCCCCACCCCAAACACACCAACCTACAAACGGAAATGGATATCGAATTTAACATAGTGTAAAAGAAAAATTAGAACGTTCCAAGTATATGTTTTCTGTGACCCCACCCCCACCCCAAACACACCAACCTACAAACGTACTTATAAGTGAAGAAATATAAACTAATGGAATCTGAAATTATTAGTACCAGTAATAAAAAAAATTTCAGTGTTTAATATGATTTTTAAGTCACTATATATCCACATCCGATTCACACCAATTCTCAAATTTATTGTTGTACAGTACTCTTGAAGTTTCTCTTTCAGTGCTGTTAAGATTTTTATGAGGAGTAAAGAAAGAGGCTCAAGTTGGTAGAACACTTACTGGAACCCGCTATGTATCTTTGTAAGGATTTTTATGTAGTTTAGGAATCTATCATAAGTATTGTAATTCGAATTCAATTTGATTGTCTGGAATATTAAAAATATTTAAACTGACATACGACTTCCCTTCTAATAAAATGAACAACATGTACATGTATGAGTATAAGTTGAATTACCAATTGCAGAATCAAATTCAAATTCTTTAATATACAATTAAAATAATGAGCCTTACGAAGACAATTTTGTTACCTGCTTTGTCAGCTGGAACCAGTACATACTGATCATGTAATCTATCTAATAAATTTTTTCACTTCATAATTATTTAAGATGGTTTTCATGTTGTCCATCAAACGTTTAATGCGAGATTTCAACATCCATACATCCACTTGATACTTTTAATCCATTCTGACAAATCGTCAAGCTCCTCTTTTTCATGTTAGACCCATCCCTGGCGTAATCTTCCGCGTAATTCATAATGTTTATGAAATTTTGACGCCAGTTGAAAGATCGGGGTTTTCTAAATTTTGGCCCTTTTAAAATAAGCGATTGAAGGTCCTCATCATTTGCTATTGTAACGTTAAAAGTAATCACATGTCTATCAGGACTATAGTTGAAAGGTGAAGAAGAACATGAACATGTAGGAGTACATCTGAATTACTAAATCCTATATAAATTTACAATCTTACATGTAAAATTTGAATGTTGAAAACCAATTGAAACGAAATCGGTGAAATAAATTCGGTATGTCAGATGTTCTGCATGGGGTAAAGTGTGATATACATAATTGAACAAATAAATTCACTAATTAATGGCGGTAAAGTGATAAATCGTATTTTCTTCTTTATGAATAGAAAGGCATATATTAATACTATTAAGTTTGTCATCAAAAATATTTTTTTATATTTATTTGAATAGTAAGATTATTCGTCAGAGAAAATTCAATGAAATACTATAAATCATTTAGTTGATCGTTTATCGTATAGTGTTTGACATAAACTCGTACCATTTTCCTCATTTTTTCTGAAAATATACCAAGAAGACCTCAAACTTGGACAATGTCCTTTTCATTTTACGACTGAATTTTGTAGGAAAGATAAAATTTGCAAAAACAACATCCCAGAACATGACATGCATACTGATTTCAAGGACAGTTTCGATCTCTTCTTAAAACGCAGATATCCTTATGAATTGTTATTGCACTTTGGGTATTCAATGAAGATCAGCAAATGCAGGATCACGAATGAATTTTCTAAAAACAACTTGAATTTTGAAAGTAAAGAAAGAAAAAACAAATTACTCGAAATAACACAGGATACCCTGTTTATTATGCGTCTTAAAATTGTGTTACTTTATCTTTTCAATTAGCCAAATTGAAATCATCCTAAATTACGACATGAAAAAATTGGATACCTAACAGACATGACAGTTTTAAATCTATTTATTTTTATAACTTTTTTCATTTTTTTTTTCAGTAAGAGGACATTTTTTTTTTAATTTTCCGGTGAAATTTAACAGTGTTCAAGCTAATATATAAAAATGGAGCGGTGCAAGAGAGGGGCATTTTTTTCCAACTTACCGTTTTTCAATTTCTATTCAATGCATTGTTAATGAATTGACATGACTGATGATATAAATTGGATATATCCTAAATCATAATTTGCAAATTTGTCCTTCATATATTTCTTAATTCTTCGAGAATTTGCGCTTTTGACACGAAACTCAAGAGTTTCTTTAAACGAAAAGAACCAACCATCAGATCATAACTTTTCTGCTGTTCCTTAGAGCTTTCTCGTTTATCCAGTTTTAATCTCCCTGAATTCCAATGACAATTTTGAATAAATTCATAGCAAAAGAAGGAACGCATAAATAAATGTTTAATTATCTCATGACATTTAATTCTTGTCATTTTGCGCAGCCTCAAAGTTTCTTCCCTCCGTGTACCTCTTTTTTAAACTATAAATGGGTATCATGCAACCGAAATCTTCTAAACAAAACAATTTCATCGCCAGAGTCAAAATCTTTACCTCCAAATTACGGTTTCATTGAATGGAGAGGGAGACTGCACTCCCTAAGGACGATCCTGAGGTTGCTATATATAGGGAGACGGAGGAAGTAGGAATAAGTAGTAAAGACGGAGAAAATGAAGAGGAACCCGAATCAGTTGTCGATGGCGTCTCTGGCAGTGATACCAATGAGGAGGAAGTGGGGAAAAATATTGACGAGCTCAGCCCAAATATTTCTTGTCCAGAACTGCCCAAAGTTCTGCTCCAACGTATTTTAACGGATGCACATTGTCCGAAACCCACTGAACCTGCGAAGAAAGATGGTGGTTTTTGTTGGATAATCGTCATCGCTAGTTTTCTGTCATGGTTCTTGTTTGCCGGTACCCGAAGCAGTATTGGACTTATCCAGGAAGAGTTTGAGAATAGATTAAAAGACAGCCCCACGGGACTATCGTGGACAGGGGCAATGGTAAATGCCATTCCTCTTTTACTAGGTATGTGTTATGTTTTATAGCCAAATTACTTTTTATTCGTAAATTGAATATTTATTAGTTGTTGAGTCTTTTACCAAATACTACATTGGTGAATATGTATTTATATTTTATTATTTCAGCTCCAGTTATATCAGTTTTAACGAGAATCACAAGCTGTGGATTTCTGACATCTTTAGGCGGCGTGATCACTTTTGCTGGATTTTTGCTGGTGACATTCACTGACACAGTACCTTTGATTTTAGTAGGTTTGGGACTATTTCCTGGTAAGAAAAAAGTCATGCTATTTGACTTTCTAATGAATTAAATTTTAACACTTTTTGCCATTTTAAAGCAATTTAAATCATTTTTTTTTATTTCGATACAACCTCAAAATATTTTGAATATAAACATTTGAACCTTTTTTGACAGGCTTGGGATTAGGCCTAATGGCACTTCCATCAACATTTATGGTCAGTGATTGTTTTGATAGTAGACGAGGTCTTGTCATAGCATTGAGTACAGCTGGTGGAGGCTTGGGGTTCATTGTTTTCCCGGTCTTGTTCTCCTTCATGGTCAACTTTTATGGTCTAAAGGGAACGCTTTTGGTGTGTTCTGCTCTCTACCTAAACGGGTTTCTCTTCGGTATTATCTACCGTCAAAAGGAAAAGCAACCAAAGAAAATTGGTGAATAAGATTTGTTTCCTCATATATGACAATACTTTTATTTTAACATACTAGAATCTATATATTGTATAAACAAAGTAAATCTCATTCCAGAGAAAAAATCAACTTTCTCAGAAATGAAGAAGACCTTTTGCGACAAAGATGTCTTCTGTTCCTATAACTTCTTTCCAATGATATTTTCAAACATGATGTTTGGTGCCTCCGACACCATTCCATTCCTGTTTATACCTTCAAAGGCCGAAAGACTTGGTTTCTCGTTGGAATTGTCGGCCATGTTGATTTCTGCTATTGGTTTTACTAGCATCACTGGAAGAATCGGGATCGGAATTCTCACTGGGAAATCTCAGTGCAGACGACTAGGATCCTTCATTGCTGCGTTTCTCATTAGTTCGGTTTCAATGGCTCTGTACGCCTTTACAGAAAGATACGTTATTCTTATCATAGGTAGTTGCGTTTTTGGAGTGTCAACAGGTATGTTTTCTGTAGAATAATCTCGTTTTGTAGAATTATCAATTTCTTCATTGAAAAGAGGAGAGAAAAATGTAAATGTTAACAATCCTTAGCTGTATTTTTTGACATCTAATCATTAGGTTTATTTCAGGGCGAGTACACAGGATGACCCGCTTTATGTAATGTATAATGAAAGTAATCTTCTAACGAGAACACAGTTGTATCTTCTCTTTTTGAAAAAAAAAAACTTTTCATTTTTCGTATTCATTACAGCTACGTTTTTAAACATTACATATACCTGATGAAATAAAATTCTAACATATATTTTAATAACATATTAACCATACATATTTTCGGATAACTCTTATGTTGAATAAATTACATTGAATTTTAGCTTTATGGTCAATTACAGATAAGCTTATGTGATGGTAAGGTGTCCGTCATCTGTCTGTCTTTTAACAATTGACAAGTTCAAAATGCTACCTCAAATTTCATTAAACTTGGTACATAAGTAGACTACACCTTGATAAATGATTTTTTATATTAATTTTTGATTTCAATGTACAGTATTACTATGGTGAGAAAAAAAAATTGTGAAATTCTTTCAAATCACTACTACTCCTTTAGTTTTCACTATGAGTCATCATTCTTATGGAAAGCCGTAGGGTACCCCCACATTATTATTATTTTTTCCTATATAACTATACCAAAAATAATGATCTCATACAAAAATAAAAATCTTGCTTTTTTACAACATTATTATTTTTCTGCAACAATAATAATTTGGGTACCTGCACATTATTATTATTCCTATATTTTTATAATTGTACCACAAATTAATAATAATAATAATAATAATAATAATAATAATAATAATAATAATAATAATAATAATAATAATAAATAAATAAAAAAAATAAAATAAAAAAAATCTATCCTTTTTTTTTTTTTTTTAACATTATTATATTTCCCCGCAAATATTACAATTATCACGTTTCCATACTATACTACCATACTATGTGTACAAATTATCTTTATTTAGCCCAACAATAAATAATGATTTTATCCTCTGATGTTTTACAACTATAATCTTGCCAACAGCAATAATTATAATCGGTCGATGTGTGTACATTGTTTTTATTTACACCAAGATTATATCATATTACGTTTACTTCAACGATTTATAAGAATGCATACTAGTAACAACTACTGATTGAAAATTAAAAAAAAAACACTTTCATAGAAATAAATATGTATGCAAAAAAAAAAAAAAAAAAAAAAAAAAAAAAAAAAAAAAAAAACACCACATTAATTTTGCAACAATAATAATGTGCGCCTTGTTCGTAGAAAACAACTTTATTTTTCATCGGGAAAGATAACTTCTTTTCTAGTGACAGGAACGAAAACTCTGTCCCTTGTTGAAACATTATTATTGTGACAGACTGTACACATTATTTGAAGCGTGAAATTATATTATCTTGAGCGTGGAGAAATATTATTTCTAGCGTGACGGATACAAGCGTTAATGTGAGAGAGATTTGCACACATTATTTGAAGCGTGAAGGAAATATTATCTTGAGCGTGGAGAAATATTATTTCTAGCGTGACGGATACAAAGCGCCTATGTGAGAGAGATCTTTACATGTGTGTTCACCGTTCACTCAGTTCAGTCGAAGTGACAGTCTGAAGACGTCTTCGACAACAAAAGTTACAAGGTAGGACAGACACGGTAAGAAGTAAAAACCACGCCAGTAATGTTTTAAGCTTAAATGTTAAAGTACAGAACTTTCAAACCTTAATGTTAAGATATAGAACTTTCAAACTTAACTTTCGAATTTTCTCGTCAGGGATTGAGTCTAGAACAGGTCCGGCACAATCTCTTGATTAAGCTATATAGCTTGATTTAGCTATATAGCTTTATTAAGCTATTCAGAATAGCTTAATTTAGCTATTTTATCACACTTTTTTCTCAAATTTGTTATTTTCCAAGTATGCACAAAAAGTCGCAGCTTGGTGCAGTGATGATATTCAACCTTGAACTCTTATGAAAATAATGCATATAAAAATCACTCATCAAATTGCGTCTCCTTAAGAGACTTTGTACTCAAAGTTCTAAAAGTTTTGGGGCTATATAAAGCAATTGATACAGTTACTTCTTCAATGAAATTATAAAGGAGGCCAATTATGGTCAACAAGATAATTGATTGGTAATAATTCAGTACAATGAGAAGCAATCATACTTATCCATGCCTCAACGCACACAAGGTAGTGTACAGTTACCCAAACAATGGAAATTCATCTTTTGCTTAAAAGTATTCAAATGCTGCAATGTTAGAACTATCTTTGATTTGGGTTGTTGATTTGATAACCCATATTACATATATGAATGGTCAAATACTTGCAACTTTTTGTCTATTTTGTTCAAATAACATTTTTGTGAAAACCTGCATATAAATAGCTTTATCAAGCTATTTTGAATAGCTTAATAAAGCTATATAGCTATTTCAAGCTATATAGCTTAATCAAGAGATTGTGCTGGACCTGTAGAATAAAACATAAATTGTCTTCTATATATATGCACACGCCAGGAGTATTATAAATCGCATCATAAAATATGTATTTTTTTTTACAGATATGTTTTGTGTAGAGTGTGGTCACAAGTTTGACCACAACAATCCCAAATTTTGTGGGAATTGTGGGATAAGAATAGGTATGTGAAGTTATAATTACATTGTAATATATATATATAGAGAGAGAGAGAGAGAGAGAGATGTCATGAACTGAATATAAAACAAAAAGTTGAAGCAGAGAAGAACAGAAATATGTTCAAAAGAAGTTTAACATTCTGATGTATTATAGTTTCAGATTTTTTTTTATCGGTAAACATGGTAAATACTAAATAAGAACCGAAAATGAAGACAGGCAGTCCTGAATCTGCAGTGAATTATTTGCTGAAATCAAACTAGAATGAACTATTTTACAAACCAGATCTGGAAATTTAGGGTTCTTCATCAAAAATCAGGTGAAAAGCATGACTCGCCATGCCATAAAAAATAATTGGGTTATGGGTAAAAAAAAATCTGGTTTAACACAACAGAATTGGGGGAGTTGGCAACTCTCCCCCCTCCCCCCATTACTATGTACATGTATCTGTTTTTAGGAACATTTGTAACCATTTTCATTACTATTAGAATATTACTAGTTATTTATGCATTTATCTATTTTATAGGTAGCAAGGACACCGGAGATGTTGAAAAAGAACCATCCATTGGTAAATTTATTGATTGCGGAAGTTCTAGATTTGAAGCAAATTCCTTTTGCCTTAAATTACAATTAATCAATTACAGGTAAACTTTGCTATCTCGACATCAGCAGAACTATCGGAAAATGTTGAGGTATCAGAGTTGAGACTTCATGTCCAAGACGCCCAAGATTTCACTGCATAGCAAAACAGACAGGTTTATTACGTACATGACTTCAATATACGGTAGTTCATCTTATTTCAGGAATCCCTCTATTTTTATTACCAAATCTAAGGAATTATAATAAAAATAATGTTTATAAAATAAGTTCTTTCTCTATATCGAAATCTTTCTAAATTTACAAAGTTTTCCAAAATTCCACCATTCCGTGTACGTGTAACTTGTTTTTTTGGTCAGAACAGGATATGAAATGTGCTCTATAAACTTCGAACCGTATAAAGTTGACATCCGAGAAACAGAAAAAAAATTAGATGCATTATTTTTTTTTTTTCTCATTTCAAAAAGAAAGCTCATAAAAACAAAATGTGATGTTACTTGTGCATGAATTAAGGCTGATTCAGTTAATCATGTCATTAATTTGATTATTCAAGTTCCTGTTGAAAGAATTTTTAAAACAAAATATCTTTTAAAACATCATTTAATTCCTTAGTTAGAATTAAATTTAATGCGTTTATTATTCATTGTAATGCAGTAAGCTTTTTCAAATTATAAAAGTTGTGCTTTATGTTGATATTAATAAACGTCGGTACATTTAATGAAAATCATATAGATTTATCGATGATATTGCCCAAGCTGAACATTTAATTGAGCAATTAAAGTCTCGAAGAAGACCGAAGGGCTTGGGATTCTTCTACAAACACAGTCTGACTATAGAATGAATTCAGCAGTGTGTAGTCAAAACATGGGTGTGAAAGGTGTGAATTTCTTATGATGTTGAGATACACAGAGTCATCCATGCCTGACGAGTGACCATTTGACAAACAGTTAGGTTTAATAGAGCAGAAAATTGCCGATGTCGACATATACCAGGTAAATGTTGCTCTTGGGACTGTGAATATACCTGAATATACATCGAGATAAACAGGGTTGTCGACATTACAGAGTTAGACATATCAGAGTGTTTGCAAATGAAGTATATAGTAAATACTGCCGGGAGCACGGACGGACGTCAACATATCCCAGGTTGTCGATGTATCCGCGATGTCGAGATACGGAAGTTTACCTGTATTTAATGAATATTCAGTTGAACTTTGATATCTTGAACACTGATCATGTGGTGATATTTTCAGATGCCATGGATATGTCAAAGTGATTTGGAAGTTGCAACCACTTATTCTTTAAGTATGTTATCCCTGATATCTCAAATCCTTGGATATCTCAAAGTTCAGTCCCATCAAGTTCAAGATAACAAGGTTTAACTGTATTTATGAAAATTCACAGGTAGTCACAGTGAGGTGCTTTCTGACACTGATGACATGGAAATTTTGCTATAATTACATGTATACTACATTCATTTGGCATGAAAATACAATAGAATAATGTATTTCTCTAAATTTTCAGGTTGTGAGGTGCTCCCAGATATGGCAGACATAAAAGGTGTTGAACAAAAGTTATCCAAAGGTAAATTTACTAATGATTGTATAGTATATTCTACAACTTATAAAAAGCATTGATGATTTCCTGTAGGAAACACCTTAATACAGTAACAGATTTTCCAAGTCAGACCTCAAAATATTTATATCTATCATATGTACACACGCATGTCACTATAATAAATGATTAACTTGCTTACTTACAATAGTCATTATGAAATTTATTTTTTATGTGCTTCTCTTTATATGACATGTTGTGTGAAAATGAAGCAAAGTGCTTCCAGATTTGGTAGGAGACTTAGAATCTGATTAATGAATATCATCAATTTAAAAGAAATCTGAAATATCTGTGCTTGCTTGTCAACAAGTGAGCTTTGGTAGTCGGGACAAGGAAAGTCATCATGGTGATGAGTGGTTATGATTCAAACTTGTCCTCTTGAGCAAGCGGTCATGGAAATTGTTAACACCCTGTAATTTAGTAGATAAATTTTTGTCTTGAGCTTAAAACAAACATGATCATAGGGCCAAGGATTTCCCCAAATAGTACATCC